AGGAGTCGTGCACAGAAGTATGTTTTGTGGTGGCAGCTTTTGAAGCCAAGCAGAAAGTTTTTAAAAAAAAAAAAAAGCCAAGAAAATGGCAAGGAGGGGCCTGGGGACAGACTTGGCATGCACATGAGGTTTATGATGTGCAGTTCCCAGACCCTGTCCCCAAGTAAGAGTCACCGTTCAGCCCCTTTTCCTCTCCCTCCCGTCCATTACCTGCACAGGTAGAGCTGCTCCCTACTCCTGCTGTACCCCAGATGGAGGTCTGAGCATCCACTCCCCTCCCCACCCCTTACACACTTCTGGGGCCATTTTGAGCACCCATTCTCTCCAGAACTTCAGTGCCCATCATCTTTTGGGGTCACAAAGGTCAAAGTCCCCACCTGCATGGTGCTGCCCTCTCTCTACCACCAGTCAAGGTGCAGCCAGGACTTAGGCTGCCTCCTCCATCTGCAGAGCCATCAAGAAATCACCTCCTGGGCTGTGAGTGTGGCAGACATGTCGGCCCAGGATGGATGCCTCCGGTGTTTACCGAGACCCACCATGCCCAGACCTGGAGTGCCGGGAAACCAAGCAACACCACCACCACCACCACCACCATCAACCCACCAGGAGCGGCTGTGAGCCTACCGGCGTAGGCTGAGCATCAAACATCACATGTCCCCCACCCCACCGTTAGCAAGTGGGGGCCAGTGATCTGGACATCCCTGGAGAGGCTGACCACAGGCAATGTAGCAAGTAGGGGCGATTTCCTTCTCCCATCTCTTTGAAGGCAAATACTTTTATCCCTGTTTTGCTTTGTTCTAATTAACAGTGTTATTTTAGCCTGTTTCGTTTTGTTGAACTTCAATATACATGAAAGTATGGACAGCTATTTTGAAGAGAACCAGAGACTCTACAACAACCATTAGTGACTTCCCTTTTGTCTGGTTTTGAAGACCTAAATTGTCTTCCTCATTTTGTTTTGATCAGTTTTATACTCTGTTGTTTTGTATGAATTCTCTGTATGCGAAGACACGGACAACTATTTGGAAGAAAACAAGAGACAATATGATAGAGAGTGAAGAACTCAGGTCATCTAGCTTTGAAATTTGTACCTCCTACATTGCTTTCTTATGTCCTATTTTGTTCTGTTTTGTTGTGTTTAATTTTACCCTCTTTAAAATTAAAAAAAAAAAAAAAGAAACCACCTCCTTCTCCTTCTCCTCCTTCCATTCCCCTCCCCACCTTCCCCTTCTCCTTCTTTGGCTTCTCCTTTTTCTCCTCTCCCTCCCTCCTGCTTGTCCTTTAGAGATTCTAGCCTTATAATGACATCAGGTCTACCCAGCTAATCCAAAATAACCTCCCCTTTTCTTTTCTTTTTTTCTTTGTTTTTTTTTGCACTGGGAATCAAACTCAGAACCTGGCACTTGCCATGCAGGTGCTGTGCTACTGAGGTGCATTCCTGGCTCATGTTCCCATCTCAAGATGCTTACCTTAATTGCTCTGAAAATCTCTTCAGCCACATAAAGAAGCACAGTTACAGGTTCCAAGTACTAGGACATGGACATATTGGGGGGTCAGTATTTACCTGCTACACCTCTTTCCTTCCATCTGGTCCAATCTGACCAGCTGCCCTTGCAGAGGCACAAGAGACCCTGAACCTGCACCTTCCACGTCCAGTGTCTCCACTGGAATGTTTTAAGGTGATGAAAAGTATGACACGTCCTCCAGTCATTTTTCTTGCCGTCCTGTTGGAAAGTGCTTGTCTTCTTTTTAACACTAATCTTTGCAGCAAGCAAGCACTCTTCCAACTTTGCAGACCCCAGCTTTCTTTACTGGAGCTTCCTATTTGGTGAAACCGAAAACTTTTTAAAATCACTCTGTTGTGCTGTTTGCTCTTAATTCTCAATGCAGACCTGGCTAAAAGTCCCCAACAGTATCTATACCACAGCCTCAACATTGGGCTACCCTGAAATTGCCTCTACTACATTAACTTGCCCACTACTCTTAATCTCAATCTCCTATAAAGTCTCAGGATATGAGCAAGATATAGACAAATTTTGTGCCAGAGTAACACACATGGCCTGGAGTCAACTATCCCTAGAGGGTTGTTCTCAGCTGAAACCTCCTGAGCCTGGTCTTTACCATCTGCCTCTTTAACAGCATTCTAGTCTTCTCAGTTCCAACCAGAATCTCCCATCAGACTCAGCTTACAGCATTCTAGGGCTGCTTCTACAGCTATCACCTCCAAGCCTTTCAAACTCTGCCTGTAAACCAGTCCCAAAGGCTCCTGAACCATATGGTAGCATCATAGCAATGACCCTACTTCTCAGGTACCTAAATGTGTTAATTACTTCCTCCATTGCTGGGACAAAATACCTTATAGCTACAATTTAATTTAAGGAAGGCAAAGTTTGTTTTAGCTCACTCTTCAGTCCCTGGTTGGCTGGTTCTAAGGTAGTCTTTCCCCTACATCCCACCATTCCTGCAGCAAGTCCTTCCTGTTGGCTTTAAGCATGGCACCTCTCTCTAATTAACAACTCCTTGCGTGGCTTCCTCCAGTCTCTCTCTCATCTCTCTCCTCCACCCTCGTCTCCTATCGCAGCAAACTTCTAAAAAGTGGCTATTCTTGCCACTTCCAAATCAGACTGGCAGAGTTTCTGCAGGACAGCTCTGTTATAGGGGTGTGTCCTGTCCTGGGCATGGTACACTGTTTCCTACTAATCCTGGCCTCTACCTGCCAGGGGCTAGGAGGGTACCCCCACTCTGAGTCTAAGTGACTCCCACAATGCCAGCTGCTGTGGGGGTACAAAATTTCCCTTGGCTGAGACCCACCTCACTGCTAAAGTTACCAGTGACCGCCCAGGCACTAACTCCAACAGATGCCTTTTAGTAGGTTCTCCCTTGATTTTCAAACAGAATGTGACACAGTTGCCCATCAAAGCTGTGACAAACCCTCTTCTCTACACACTGCCCACACATCCCCATTCCCGCTGACCACCTGGGCACAGCCGAGTCACAAGTGACATCTCTGAACCTCTTCTCTAAGCTCCAAATCCTCATATCCAGCCCTCCACTACCTGTCATCGCTTAGACTTCTGCAGGTGACTCCGTATACAACAAGGATACAACCAAAGTCGTCACCATGCCCCTTCCGGCACGCTCCATCTTTACAAAGAAAGGTCCACCAGTGACCCATGCAAAGAGGAGGTCAGTGGCAGGGGTTACCCTCGACACTCTTGACTCCCTGGTCGAGGCCACCAGCAAGTCACAGCTCTCATCTCCAAAGAGTTCACAAGCTACTCCACCCCTGCAGTCCACATCCCCAGGTCTCTGCCATGCTTCCTCTGCCACAGTGCCCCCGGGGGACCCAGGCGCTGGATTCCATTCTTACCAATACCGCACCCTCTGCCCCCAAGCAGATCTCCAGGCTGCAGTCAAAGTCACCCTTCCAGACACAAATGTGACCCTGTTACTCCTGATCACAAGCTATCTTTCTTTTTCTTTCTCTCTCTCTCACCCCAGGGCCTTTGCTCATGCTGTGCTGGCTTCTGCATGTCCCTCCTCAGTCTCCAATTGGCCCTCTGCTTCCTTCAGTCACAGTTTAGTAGCAGGAAGTCTTCCCCGACCTCTGGCCACACCACTGGCTGTTCACTTTCTCCCAGCCTCACTCTTGCCTGACAGAGTCATAATGATAAGTGTATTTATCTTCTTCACGAATCAACTCCATCTGCTGCACAGAAAGTTTTGTGAGGATGGGACTGACGTCAGATCCAGCCCACCGTGGAACTGGCAGGGCCACGCAGGGGAATCGCCTGGAGCAGGCACATTTTTGTGATGAGCAATGGCCTCCCATCACTGTCCAGCAGTCAAGCTCAACTCCTGGGCATTGTCTCAAGACTCCTCCCCGCTACATCTCTCTCGATGTTGCCTAATCCAGCACCTGAGTCCAAGCCACCATCTTTGTTCCACATGGACTCTCATCCCAGCCTCCTACCTGGAAACTCCACATTCCAGCAGCCTGGCCGTGTCACACCTCTGCTAGGCCATATCAGGGGCTTGCCTGGCCCTGGGGATGAAGGAGGCACTTATCCTGCCTTAGGAAATGCTAGGACTGCCCCCACCTCCTCCACCACCAATTACTTCCCATTACCTCTTGGGCTCATCACAGTTGCCACCACACCAGACTTTTCCAAACTCCTCTTTCAGCTCCTGGGTCTACAGGGAGCCCGCTTCCAGCTCCTTTGCAACTCTAACTGCTACTCATTCGTCATAGTCCTAGGCTAACGGAAGCTTCCTGCCAAGCCCTCAACCTAAGCCAACAGTAGTATGAGCTGCTCGTCACTGTGATCACTAAGCCAAGCCTAATCCCAGAACATTAGGGTACTGACTCATTCCGTCCTGGCCACCAGCTATTACGAGCCTCATTGCAAAAAAGCAGAGAGAAGTAAACGACTTGTCCAAGGCCACGTTCAGTAGTAAATAGCGGGCCGGCTCACATGACACACAGGCTGCAGGCCCCAAACTCTAGGGCACTATCCACACCGCCATGCCCTCTGTGTCGAGGTGCCAGGGCAGCCTGTGTTTCCCTTTTAGGGACCACAATCACACGTGTTCCTGCTTGTGCGACACTTTTCTTCTTCCCACGACCGCCGGACCCCTGCGGGCAGAGAGGCCACTTCTGTCTTGTGCAAGGCTTTGCCTCCAGCACCTCGCCTGGTACCTGAAACCACTGCTCGCAAGGCTGAATACCATCACGTTCTTCATCCCCTCTGCCGCCAGCTCCAAGCCATCTGCCTCCGAGAGACCCCCGGACACACACCTAGAATCCACAGGGAAACTGCCCTGCACTGACCTGGTGATTTACTGATTTGCTGACACAGCCACTCAGCCAGGGGACGGGACAGCCAGATCTGTCATCTGCACATCCAAAGGTGGCAGAGAAGCTCTTGGGCCAGCACAGGGCTCCCCCTGCTGGTTTCCTTCCATGTACCTCTTCATGGAACAGTCCAGGGGACACTCACCAGCCAGGAGAAGAAGCCAGCCGACTTGTCCTGGGTGGAGATCTGCCCCTCATAGGGGCCAAAGATGTGGCCCTTGGGAATGACCTCATTTATGCATCGCACGTCACTCTCTCCGCCCGCCTCCTTGATAACCTCCATGCCCTGTGGGATGGTGAGGGCCGCCCGGTCTGGGATGCCCACGGGCACTGGTGTGTCAGACACAAACACTGGAGGTCCATGGTTGGGACATTCATCCACGAAGTACTCCTGGCAGGACTCGCAGACTGGATGGAGGGAAAAAAGAGGCGGGGCCTTAGATCTGACAGAAGAGGCACCGCTTCCCAGGAGGCCTTGGAGCTGAGGGGAGGACCACCTGAGGACAGGGGGCAGCGGACTCAGGGCTCCCAGCCCTGGCGATCCCCCACTCCTGGGTGCAGGCACCATCACTCATCATCTTCCTGGGGAACCGAAGGACATGCCTGCCATAAGCCCTGCACCTCCAGTTAGCAAATGGGGAAGAAGAATCAGGTGCCGGGGTTCAACAGATGGGGTTTGTGTTACAGTTGAACATTTATGGGCCGTGGATCCTGGACAGGGTACTGACATCTCACCAGGCCTCAGTGTTCTCACCTGGAAAGTAGGCCAACAATGAGGTCTAAGGGAAGCCCAGGCCTGCACCCGACACCACACTCGAATGCCTATCCCAGCACTCTTATCCCTACCCTTATGCCTATCCCTATCATGGTGAAGGAAGGGACAGTCCAGAGCCTGAAGCCCCACTTACACCAGAAGTCCACTTGCTGGAAGCTCTTGGGCACCATGAGGTCACGCTTCCCTTTCAGTTTCTTGGGCTCAACTTCCATGGCCAAAGGCTCTGGTCTCCTAGAGCTGCTCAGGTCAAGGACCAGGAAAGAAAGCAGAGAAGCCATCAGAATCAAAGCACATTGAGGAGCGTGCTGACCTGCCAAGGGGCCTGGGTAGGGATGGGAAAGGAGCGCTGTTCCTCGGGGGGCCTGCCCCGTGCAGGTTAAGGAAAGTGGGCGGGGAGCTGGAACTTTCCCCTAAGTCCCCAAGCCACCACGCAGCTGAGTCACCCTGCGTCCTGCTCCCCACACCCACAGAGGGGCCTCACCAGGGCTGGCCATACTCCTGGTCTCGGAGTGGAGAGCAGACCTCTGTCTTCACCACGGTCACCATGTCACCCACTGCTGCCTTGGTCTGGGCCAAACACTCCTTCATATTCTCAGTCATTCTGTCCTGGGGACGCGGGAGGCGGGACCAGCAGAGAGAGAGGATCAAAGAGACAGGGGAAGAGGGGTGAGTGGCGGCGGAGAGGGCAGGCAGGGGTCCCTCGGAGTCTGGTTACCCTCCCTGCATCCCCAGAGGAAGCGCTGGAGAACACAGACAACAAAAACAGCTGTAGCCCGGCCAAGAGGAAATGCCATTTCTATCCCGGGCTGGTCCTAGGGACGACTGGAGCCACCGGCCCCATGGGGTCAGGGACCGGGACAGCTCGGGCCAGGAGGCTGGGCTGGGAAGGGCTGCCCAGACCCCAAGACCGAAGGGCAAAGGGCACGAGGCGCCCGCAGGAGCCTGGGCATTCAACTCTGCAGAGCGGAGCCCCGAGGGGAGAACTCGAGCCCAACTCGGGCCAGGCGGGTGGGCACGGAGCCGGACCTCGGCGCCCGGACCTGCGGCGCGGCCCGGGGCGGTCCGGGCGGGGCTGGGGGCGGGGAGGGCCGGCCTGCGAGCCCGGTGCAAGCCCCACCCCTCGGCCGGGCCGCCTCTCCGCTGCGCGCTTACCGCCCTCGCCACCGCGCCGGGCTTCAGGCCCTCCCTCGGCACCCCGGGGTCCTCATGCCAAGCCCGGGGACACTCCTCGGGCAGGGGCAGCGCAGCAGCTCAGGCCGGGATCGCGCCGGGCCCCGGGACTGGGCGAGGGGCGGGTGTGACTCACAACCCGGGGCCCCGCTGGCCACACCCCTGCTCCGCGGCTAATCAGCCCCCTGCTCCCCACCGGGGCCCCAAAGCCGCCGGCTGCTGGGAGGGGTTTGGGGAGGCAAAAGGCCGGCCCCCTCCCCCGAGCCGGCAGGGCCGGGGGCGCGCGCAGGGGCCGGGGGCGCGCGGGGGCCGCCGGGCGGGGCGAGCGTGCGTGGCGGAGACGGGGCGGTGGCGGCGGCGCGCGGGAGGCCGGGGCGGGCACCCACCTTCCCGGCGGGGCGCTCGGCCCGCCCGCTGCGTCCGCCCCCGCCCGCCCGGCATTCCTTGCGGGGCATGTGGCTTCTTGCCGGCCCCGGGGGCACGCAGTTGGCTGGCGGCCGGGAGGGGCGCGCGGGGAGCGGGGCAGCGAAGCGGGCGCGGCAGGAGGAATGCCAGGGCCTCCCACGGGCCCGCGCCCACTCGGGTCGAGGGCGCCGAGCTCAGGCGGCGTCTGCTGGTCCCCACCTGCGCGCCCTCTCTGCCTCCGGTAGCGCTGATCCGGGTTTGGCCGCCGCGAGGCTATGGGACGGTCCCCAGCCCCTCCTAGGTTGGGAAGGTCACCGAGAGCAGGAAGATGTGGAGCGACTTGCCCAAGATCATGCACACCCTGCCTAATGGAGTCAGTGCTGGAAGCTGGGGCTTGGCCTCAGTTTACTGCAAACAGGAGCACCCCAAAATCCGAGTGTCCTGTCACAGGAGCACCCCAAAATCTGAGCGTCCTGTCACAGGTCTGGATGCCGCTGGCATCGCCCTGGTGTGGGTTCAGGCTGCTGCCCTCAGTCCAGCTTCCTGGTGGGAGTGAAGCTCTGAGGGCTGTAAGGATGGCCGGACACTCTACTCTTGAGGAGCAAGTGTCACTTGCATGAGCAAAGGTCACACACAGATATCCTGAGGCGGTGACATCTAGTGGTTAGGAACCTGGGCTCTGGACAGGCGAAGCCCAGGTTCCAATCCCAGGGGTGGCGACACCCTAGGGCAGGTCCTGTGACTGAACTGTGTCCTCCTCCATCTCCCATTCACACACTGAAACGCTAAGCCCCATTGTGATTATGCTTGGAGAGAGTGCCGTGATGTGACAAAGATTGAGGTCTTAAGGGTCACCATGTCCTTCTGTCTCCATGGTGCAAGGACACCACAAAAAGGTGGCCTTCTGAGAAGGTGGCCATGCACCGGTGGGGAGCCGTCACCAGGAGCTGTGTGCCTGCTGCCTTGATCTTGTCTTTCCAGGCTCCAGACCCATGAGAAAATAAAGGCACACTAATCCAAGCCACGCGGTCCACACTAGTGTCTGTGGCAGTACAGGCTGACAAACACCGCAGGTCACCTGACACCTCTGCACCCCGCTTCTGCATCTGGATGAAAATGTGCCTGATAATATGTTCTATCCCAGTGGCAGCTGTGTGACATAGAGATTGGGGGACAGTCCCTGAATGTCACTAGAGAAAGCTACTAGGACAGTGGAGACAAGACATCACTGAGAGATGGCTTTAAAGTCTCACCATTGGATCAGATTTATTTTTAAGCCAACCGCTTGCAAAATCTGGCACTTTCTTAGAACTCACTGCTTAGAAACCATCTGCTTGGGGCATCCCTGCCCAGGCACTGTGCCCTTCACTGCCCAACTGGGGTGTGCCGCTCCATCCTGCCACAAAGCCTGGGGACATGGTGTATCTTCACTGCCCATCTGCCCATCAGTGCCCTTTCCTAGCTCTGTGTCACACATCATGACACTTGTCACATGTATAACAGTCTTCTACTAGCACCGGTGCTTGGTTAATGAGCTCCAGCTCCTTAGTAGAGCGTAAGCTCCCTCAGTGCAAGGGGGCGGGCTCTTTAGCTCACCACTGACTTCTCACACCTGTGACAGTGTCTGTCACCAAGGGCCAGGCCAGGGAAGGTTGCGCCAGCTGCTGAGCCATGATCCTTAGGGAAGCCCTCCCTCCTGGGGCCACTGCACTTGCAAGGTTAACACAGGAGCGCGCGGCCTCCATACTCCTTGTACCCTAAGCGCCTGGCTTGTCTTACGCTAGTCTCAGCCCTGCTCAACATGTAGCACGTGTCTCGGTCAATCAGGATTTCCAGATGAATTCATGATCAGATGACTCACAGCACAATGTACTGTCCCTACGCCCACTGGAGGATCTCAGCTCTACAAGAGGCCTCAGAAGGAAAGCCAGGTAGGTGGATTATGCTTTTTCAATCCTCTTCCCTATTTTTCAATCCTCTTCCCTATGCAGGTCTCCTGCAGCGACCCTGGCAGGCAGGGCTGGCGAGGTGGGAATGGAGGAGCGAGGTTTGGCAGAGGTAGTTACATATGACATTGGTCTCGGGAGGCCTAGAGTCCGATTCTGGTAGCAGGCTGCATAGTCTGAGCTGCGCGACATGGCCTGTGCTCGTCCAGGCTCAGAGTCTTCGTGGTTAAGATTGCCAGGTTATTCCCAGGAGATAAAAATGATAAGGCTGAATCGAGGCCTTGGGACGAGCCGACTGCTCCTGGTGTGTGTGGGATATCAGGGCGGCCCTGGCCACCCTAAGAGGCACGGGGGCTAGAGGAGGGGGAGAGGGGCAGAGGGAAGGAGACCAGAAACAGGAGGGATCGTAGGCAACAATAGGAACTCTCTTTATTCAAAGGATGGAGGGAAGAGAGGAAACGGGGAGGGAGAGACAGAGGAGGACTGTGGGAAGGGGCTGACAGATGTTCCAAGTCAAATGGCCCCAGAAATCCACCCCCTTCTGAGAAAAGCGTTTGTTTTCCTCTGGAAGCAGAGCTGCCAAGGGGCCCCTTGCTTTCATGGCTTCTTGTTCACACCCACCCGTCATTCCATGAAAGATTTGCCGTGTCCCAAAGCACACACATGTGGAAGTTGACCATCCCTTATCCAGAATGCTCAGATGGGACCAGAGTGTTTCGGAGTTGAGAATTTTTCAGTTTGGGATGTCAGCTTAGACTTGACTGGTTGAGAATCCCAAATCTGAAAATCCAAAATGCCCCTGATTTGAAATTTTTTGAGTGTCAGGTCAGTGCTTTAAAAAGTCTCAGATTTCAACGTATTTTGGATTAGGATGGTCAACCAGTTACTATATAGGTTAAGAAACACCCACAGTGTCAGAGGCCCAGAAAAAGAGTGGCACTGATTACACTAATGTGAGATGGTTAAGGATTGAGTTTCCCATGTAGTTCTGAGCCTCCTGGCTGCCACAGCAAGAAGGGACATACAGTGAGTTTCAGCATTGTCAGTATTTGACAGCTACCTATGGACTGTAAGCACAAGTGAGTTCTCTCCATTCTTGGAAGACACCAACTGCCCGGCGTACCAGGACCAAGCCTCACTTGTACAACTCACATGTGTTACACTCTGGAGTGGACCCTCGACTCCACTACCCTGAAATGGAAAGAGACTGTCTGTACATGAATTGAAGTCTGGAGGGACAAGAAAGGAGATGGGTTGTGTCAGGGTCAGATGAATCTCCATTTGGGGAGAGAGGGAACGGGGCCAGTGTCCTTCACTGGGCCCACTACAGCTGGCACTGAAGCCCTGGGCCAGTGAAATGCCAGTTTCAGTGGAAACTGTTGGCACTACCTGCCCAGGGAGGGGCCTGAGGTGGGGGTCCCACGCCCGGTGGAGGATCCGGGCCTCTGGCAGGCCTCCCTCCGGGCTGGCTCCTCTGAGTCTGCACATGCAGAGATTAAGCTCGCTGCAAACCCAGGAGGAGGGGGCCGAGAGCAACCCAGGAGCCTGCAGCTCTGTTTTCGCCCCCAGGCTCAGTGCCAGGATCCTGGAATGCCCAGCAGCCAATGTGGCCAGGGGCCGGGAGCGCGTGCCCACTGGGTTTCCCTAGTGTTGGCACCATGCAAATTTGGCAGGTCTGGTCCAATACCCACCACAGTACCCTCTGCCATGCCCTCTGATAACAAGGGCCACAAACCCGCGGCTGGTACCCTGAGCCCTGATCTCAGTCCTGTTTGTGCCACAGACATTTTAGGAGATCCCAAGACGGTTCCTGCGTGTGCTAGGCTGGTTCCCTTAACAGTTCACCACTTGGAATTATTAAAGGCAGATTTATGCACCCATCAAGCACTGCCTATGCAAGGAGTAAATTAGGCGCCTTCCACTCATATGGAAGGCAGATTTGTAAATGCTTGGAGATACTTTAGTGATTCACAGATGATATAGTTATTAAAAAGCGCTATTTGTGAAAGCCATACGTCACTGTATGTTCTGTTAACCAACTGATAGCAGTACAGACTGATAACAGTACAGACTGACCTACAGAAAGTTCATTCACTGCTCGCACCTCAGTTTCCCCATTTGTTACATGGAACTAATGTCAGAACTGTTCTCCCAGGCCTGGCCTATGATAAGTACCTTATAAATAGGTTATTCATTACTGTCCTGCATTTTGTTATTATTTAAAAGTTTAACAGAGGGCTGGGGATTTAGCTCAGCAGCATAAGTGCAAGGTTGTGAGTTCAATCCCCGGTACCAATAAATAAATAAATAAAAGTTGAACCGAGATCGGGGTCAGTAAAACATCTTTGGAAATTAAAAGATGGGAAAGCAAAAATAAAAATTAAAAACCAAAATAGGGCCAGGCTGTGCTGTAGCTCAGTGGTACAGAGCTTACCCGGCATGCACGATTGGGTTTGATCCACTGTACCTGAAATGGTGGGGAATAATTCACAAGTGGCTACTATTCCTAGTAGATAAACATTTTTTTAACAGTCACTAAAAGCTTGCATCATTAGGGAAAAAAATGGGAAAAAACCTAAACAAGCAATTACAAAAGAATAGATAAGTGACCACTATACTTTATGGAAAACTGTGAAACCATATTAATGTGCAAACATATGTAAAAAATAAAAAATAAGCCAGGCATGGCAGTGCATGCCTGTAATCCCAGTGATCTGGGGGGCTGAGGCAGAAGGATCACAAGTTTGAGGCCAGCCTGGGCAATTTGG